ACGCGTTCTAAGGACCGGTTATGAGGATGCGTTAGGAAGATAAGAGGATGCAAGGAGGGACAAATGGGCGGGAGGTGAACGTCCTCGAAGCTAAGACCATTTGCTATACGAAAGCGTTAAGACGCTAATCGTATCAACCGACACCCATTGTGAACCGTGTGTGTACATATATTTTATCCTCCAACGTGGTATCTATCCTTCTTTGAATCGGTCACGATATAATTTTCCATCCCTCTTACTGCCTATTTATACACCCCTTTACTTTTTCTTCTACAACTTCGTATCTGAAACAAAGGATCAATCGATGGCACGATGCCATCCCATCCAATTTTCGCGGTATCAGTTCGAGAAAAGAATAGGGTTGTCGTTTTCCGCCACTAGGGAGCCTCGTATGCGCGCAGCCTCGTAGCGGCGCGTGGATACAGCAACAATGGCGGGTATTGGCCGTGGCTGGGATAGGTAGGAAAAAGAAGAAGTAGGGGGAAGAGCGGAAAAAAGAAAGGGATGATGGGTGAACGGCCGCTGAATGGCACGACCTTCCGAGGAGGCCGGTTGAGGCGGTCGACCGGCCATACGACGTGATTCTGCATGTGCACTCCCCCGCAACAACAACAAGCTTCCGCGTTCGAAGAAGCGCTCGAGGCTGGATCGCGGACGGGAAGATCGGGCTCGAGCTACCACGGATCGAGAGGTGAAGGGTACAAGTTCGCCCTTATAATCGAGAAATTTCGTCCCCCCTCGTTCTGTTCTGCTCGCGCGCAGACAGTTAGCCGGTTTCTTTCTTCGCGTCAAAGCGAAAGTGAAGGGAAATTGCGATTATCGAAGGGGGATATCGATGGATCGGCGAGCGGTTATTGGTACGCTCGAAGGCGATATTAAGCCGATTCGTTACGCCGTTACCAGGGAACGTTATCTGGCTGGCGTTGCACGGCAGAAGATAGCGCGCATACCTGTCCCTACAATCCGCATAATCTTATTTAAGTACGGTTCTAATAATAGTTGGGGCGAACTTTTTGCCCGGCCGGGTATTAGCCGGACGGGTATATCCTATTTTCTCTCATTGTCAATGAAAAATACCTCGAGCAAACCGGCTGTGTACTCGCAGAAATACGGCTGC